ACAGATAATGTGAAATAGGAAGAAAAGGGGAAAAGGGGAAGGGGAAGTGGGAGGGGTAGGGCAAAGGAAAGAAGGGAATGGAATTAACATGAGAAAATGAAAAAATGGAAACAAAGTCTTTGTACATAGGGAGGGATGGAGGGGTTGAAAGAAGAGCGGGGAATGGGGAAAAAATAAGAACCAAGAGGCATTATGTAAAGGTACAAATTTCTAATGGTGAATGTCATTATATTGTATACTTAAAATGTACCAATAAAATTAATTTTTAAAAATTATGATTTTCCTTTTGTCCTTCCTATTTTTATGTCTTCTAACCTACTTCATTTCTACCACCCTGAGATTTTTGTCCTTTATTTTTAAGGGATGCAGGGTGGTCTAGGGTTCATCTGCAAGGAAAAGGGAACCTCTCTGTATTTTTTCTAAGACCTTTCTTATATCTTCTTTCAGTTATTTTAAATATTTTACAGTATTGTTTATAAATAACTATTAGAAAAACCACCTTTGAATGAAAGTAGGTTTTTTAAAAAAATTCTATAAGATTCAGTGCATTGCTTTTTGGCTCCTCTGATACCCATGTTTCCTGAGGAAATGTTAAGTCTACCAAAACATGTAGGACATGTAAGAGTTAGTACTTCAGAATGTCTTTCAATAAAGCCAAGAATATACAGAAAATGATATTTTCTTAAATATTTTTCAAGTACAATCTTCAGCTCAGAGTTTGAAATATATATTACTAAATAATATACCACATATTAGACACTGCCCAGATACTTTAAGTGTAAATAGTAATAAGATAGTACAATAAAAGAGGTCATTAACAATAGGGCACATAAGATATACTTCCACAAAAATATCCATAAAATAAAAATGGCTTATCATACTGAATGTTCTTATTTTCTAATATCTCTCAGAAGAAAAAGGCATTATACTACCTATCATATTTATTTGTGATAGTCAGGTATTAATTTTACATCTTAATACTAAATCACTCCATGATTTGGTGAGTCAATTCATTTCATTGAAATAAATTTCAGAGAGAAAAAAATTAATGCATTCATCACAAACAAGTGGGTATTACCAGGTAATGGTTATTAGGCATCAAAAACAATGATTGGCAAGAGAATATGAAGTAAGGAATAACATACAAAAAGGACAAGAAGTAAAGCTACTTAGAGAACCTACCTTTTCAGATGAGTCTTAAAGAAAGCAAGGGCATAAAATGAAAGGAAAACACAAAGTCTACTGGAGGAGATTCAGAGACATCTTCACAAGATGTCTAGGTACCTGAAAGAACAAAGCCAGAAATTTTCAAACTGAAAATGGTAGTCCTACATATTAACTTTCTGTTCCATGTATCTTCAGAAGGGTCCCTTGAAGCACAAGGCTAGCACATCACAAGCCTAAGATGTTATCACATACACTCTCCATGAATTGCTCCGTCAACACGAGTGTCCGAGAATGCTCCTAAAGGCATGTCTTGTCCTCTCCTCATCACAACTTTGGTACCACTTCCAGGGCTCAAAATCAACAAGGCTTGAGTTATATGAAAAGCATGGGTAATGTCCAAATAAAAACAGAAAGTGCTGATTTTTCTTATTTGTTGAAATATGCAAAAAAGTTGAAAAGAAATGGAACATATTTAAAACTATCACTTGCACATACAACACAGTATTGATTTAATTAAATCTAATATTTAATCTCAAAATGGTAATCATGAAGGTAATACTATAAAAACTATCTATATTACTCTGAGTAATGACAAGTGATATGTAATGTCTAACAACAAAGTTAATTTTCAGTCTGATTAAAAACATAAATTTTTTGAGGCTAGATATGAACCAGGTGACCAACTCAAACCTGTAGTAAGTGAAGAATCCAAATTTGTTCAGTCGAAATCCATGCTTTCCTCCTTTACTTTTTTAATGCAGACTGGTCATATTATAGCTCCAGAGCAGGGGTGTGTGTGTGTGTGTGAGAGAGAGAGAGAGAGAGAGACAGAGACAGACAGAGACAGAGAGAGAGAGAGAGAGAGAGAGGAAGCATGAATTAACTTCCATGGTAGAAGATGGTGATATCTGTGTCATGCAAAAATTTTATAGCAGCTATTTTGCTTTTGCTCAATAAATCTACGTACATTTATGCACATTTATGGTTTTACAGTTTTCAAAAATTTATCAGATGATTATTTTTGAGTGTTTCATAGAGCATAATGTGAGCATACAGCTTAATTCCACTATATTTTTAATGTTAGAACCCTAGGAAAAATAAGATTAACCAACTAATTTAATATTTGGATTAATGTAAAGTAACAAATTCACCTAAGTAGTTAAAGCCCATGAACTACATAAAATTTATAAGTGAATCTACCATCATTGTAAAATTCTTCCTTATACTTAGAGTTATACAGTTATGTGTTTCAGATTTCTTCTTTCAAGAAAAATATATTCACTGGATATTGGACTTTTGCATTTCTTACTTCCTAACTCTGGCCAATGTGGACATAGTTACGAGCACTTGACACCCCACATCTAGAGCAATTTAATCAGTTTCCAACAGTAGGGAGTGATAGCAATTTTGCCCTGGGTAAAATACATTTCTGGGCTCTCTCCCAAAGAGTATTAGAACCAGATATTCTAATTTCTACATTTATGTTAAGTGATTTTCCTTGGTAAATCCAATTTTCCATGCATACTTTTGCCATGGCATTTATGACACTGATTTTAAATTATACACTTAGTCATCTGTCTCTTCCACCAGGATGTAAATTAATTGAGGTTGGTATTCACGTCTACTCTGACTCTTGGTCTTAGGGAGAAGACCAACGCACAATGCTGAACTGGTTTTGTTTGTTTATTTGTTTGTTTTTTCTTTCCTTTTGGTTGTTGTTTTCTGACAAGATTTCCCTATGTAGTCCAGGCTGGCCTGGAATTTGAAGTCACCCTGCCTCAGCCTCCTGGGTGTTGAAATTACAAGTGTGCACCACCTCACCCATCCTGCTGAGCAGGTTTTTAAAACTGCTTTGTCTTATTCTGATTTGATTCATCTCCTTTTTAGTAGCGACAAGGCCAATATTATTTTGTCACTCCCTTTACATTGTACATTGTAAACAGAGTATCTTAGGTTACGTTGTTGACTTCTTGGTGCAGAGGTAACGCCAAGGAGTTCCTGCCTGCATTTCCAGCCAAGAGACTTAAGAGAAAGGAAACATAAATAGCCACAGTGGTGATTCGGTCTGAAAGAATGGTAACTTCAGTCACTTCCCCACTCCCTGTAGCCTGTCTCCCACCCACCCAAATGATAATACAACCATGAAAAGTAAATTATAAGTCAAAAACATTTCTTCTCTTTAGCAAGTCATGCATTAATAAGGAAAATTTCAAAGAAAGAAATCACATCTTTAAATATAATAGGTTTTTTAAATAATTAGTTTTTACAGTGTTGGACCTAACATTCATTTTTTGATATATTTTACAGTGCATACAAATTTCAAAACTAAGCCCCAGAGATATCCTATCAAATTAAAAATTAGCCCCTGGAAGGCACCTTTGAAGGATATATTGAACCTGTGTGAGCTTTCTGTTCACAGAGGTGTGGCTCGTGTCTTCTCATCAGAGTCCAGGTGGACAGCTGAATGGCTCTTTCCTTTTTGATTTGACAGCTGACTTTCTGGAACAGAGTTCTTTTGTCTACCTGATTTATTGTGCAACCTAATATGAGTGTGCAATTGTAATTCTGGTAAGACTGAATACTCCTTCTTGGAGTTTTAGAAATCCAATGGCATAATAAAAATGAACCTATATTGACATTTGTAGTACTTAATTCATATATCACCTAGAGATTTGTTTTCAAAAAAGGAACTCTTTTTGAAATGAGTAGTAATGACCAGTGGGTTTAAAATTCCCTGTATCTTAATTGTGGAACAGGACTCATTTGTTTGGTCTCTCCTTGTACATTTCCCACATGAATTGAACAGGTTTGCCATTTTGCATGGATAGAAGGTACATAGCAAAATTATCTGGTATAAATAATTTCATCCTGTAACACTCCCTAAAATGATTTGTCTGGCCAAGAATTAGCAGACAATGTTAAAATCTGCCCCCATTGCTGAATTAAATTCCTTTCAACCTAAAATGAATTGGAAATGAGATGTCATGCTTAACTGAATGTCCCAAATAATTAAAACATACCACACAAAGAGTATTAATTTTAGAAGTACTATAAAATGCACTCAAAACAAAAATGCACTAAATATAAAAATGTATATGCTCTCTCCTACTTGTAGTATTGTCTTATCCTGGTTTCCCAAGAAGTAGAACATGAAACACAAACTTGCATGTAGTAGATTTGAGAGTGAGTTGGTCATCACTAAGAGCACCTGTAAAACCTTCCCTGGGACCTAATGAACCGTATTTAAGAATTGTATTCCCAGTGACTACATGGGAAGCTTTTGGCCATTAGCTCTCATGTTACATTGGTCACTGGCTCTGCCAACATGAATCCCCACATTTCTTAATCATCCACCTAGAAGTACCTTGTTGGTTTCTTCTGGCAGAAAGTGACAGTGCTGAGTTGAAGAAGATACCTGTTCAGGTCCTCCAAGTAAAGCTGACCCAAACTGAGATAGTCATCACAACTGTGGCAAAAATAAAAGATGAGCCAAGTGGATTAAAAGTGAACATAAAAAGATGCAATTACGTTAAGTTTTCTACTGCTTTGGGTTTAAGGTATAGTAGAAAATCACCATATATTGTAGTACTTTCCAGGACCAAGAACTTTTCTAATAAGTTCTAATAGAGAATGTGAAAATCTTCTTTAGCAATAGAAAATGACTACAAAGATTATATTAATCTCATGCTACTTTATAAACATAGAAATGGTATAGTCAAGATTGTATTAAATGACTATGCTTACAGAATATTTCCAAAAATTGAATAATTACTACTCATGTTGAAATAAATTGTGTTCATGAATGTAATTTTCATTTTTTCCTTTACTTTTAGACATTGCAATGCCAATGGCAGAAAAATCTTCTCAACACCTGTAAGTTCATCAAAAGTTATTTTTCTATTAACTTTTAATTCTGTGAATGACCAAAAGATCTCCCCTTGAGAGTCTATTCAATATGCATAAAAGTATAATGGGAAGCTTGCTTTCAGAAACTTGTTTTAAAGTTACTGCAGTTGCCCTTAAATCGCCTGATACTGTATCGTGGGTTTAAAATGAAGGACACATCATCACGTGCTATCATGGGCAGAGGGGACCTAGGGACAAGCAGTGATAATGAAGAACATAGAATCTGAAAATAAATGTTTTGCCAGCAAGAAGGGGACCAAGAGATGGAAGGAGGGAGGCGGGAGTGGAGGACAAGGGGCCTTAAAAAGAATTAAGATCTGTTATGTACATGGACCAACCCCACATGATAAATGTAATCATTATGTGCTGCAAACATGTTTTAATAAAAATTTTTAAAACAAAAGTTAAAAAAACTCTAAAATAAGTACATATAAGTTTTAAGTCTCAGATCTGCAACATACAAAGTGGGATACTTTATATAGGTTATTTAACTTGTGAAAGCCTCAGTTCCAAATTGTGAAAATAAAACAAGGTGACACAAGTAAAGTACTTAGAAGAATATACATGCTTATAGCAAGCACTCAGTACATTCCAGGCATTTAGATTGTATTTCTTTGTTTGCTATGTAAACTCCAGACCTTGGAACTCACCCTGGAAATCTTACCTCAGTAGATAATCTGAGTGCAGAGGAGAAAGCTACCTCACACACAGCTTCTTTCTGCTGGTCAAAGCCTTCAGCTTCCTCTCTCCCACTATCTATCCTGGGAAAGCAAGCTGACAGGAAAAGTATTACTTTAACCTGAGGACTTATGGGAACAGCCAGATTGCAGGAATAGCCCTCCAGAGCCAGGTGATCCAGAGGTCACCACTCGCAGAGTCCATCATTCCTGGCACTATTATTTCTAAGAAACTTGGGCAAAATTTAAACACAGCCATATTAGATTATTTTTCTCTCATCAGTTTTGACAGAGAGAAAAATCAATCTATCCTCGAGTAACTTAAGACAGTTTAAGGTAAATTATTTCATTAAAAAAAAACTTTAGTGGACATAAAATTTAAATTCACAAGTGGGAATTTGTCAGGTTCATAGGAGAGAAATAGTCAAGCCAGGAATAAAAGCAGCAGTAAGAGATAATCCAATTTGTCCCACCTGGATGACTACGCAACCTTTCATATGAGTACTCTATTTGACATATCTAGGATTCTGATTGTACTTTTAATTAAAAAGGAAAGTTAGGCAAAAAAATCAAACAAATCTAAACAAAGAATAGAACTTTGGTATATGACATAATAAAGCATTTTGAAATGCAGTAACAGACAAAGGAGTAGAAATTGGAAGGTGAAGCTATAACAGCTCTGTAGATTTGCTGAGCAACCAGCAATCTTGATTACATTCTTCAAATCCTTGAAATGTACCATATGATTTTTTTTTGACATAACAAAACTATGAGGAACTGTGTAGGACATCACAGAGGTAATAACAAGGCAGTACAGCAGAGGTGGTGGCTGAAAGCTTAACAGACACAACAACCATGAGGAAGGAAATCTTGGAATGGAAGAGGATGCATGGGTAGAAACCAAATGAGAATTACCAGTAAAAACAGAAACAGGAAAGCAAAGTTGCCTAGGGGAGGTTCCTAGCCCACAGAGAACCATCCTTGTTTTTATATTCCTCTGAAGGAATTTGAATAAAAGCCAACTTCCTTTAGGAGTTGTCCAAACAAAAGGGAGGACAGGGAGGAACCAGCATACCTCTGGGTCCTGGATTATTTGTTTTTATCCTCTGTAGCACAATCAGTGATAAGGAGTGGAAATACCGAGAGAAAGAAAAAGGAGCTGCATTCAATGAGTCACTAAGAGACACAAAGGCTCCTGTTCAGCTGAGTGATTGTTGTGAAGAGGATGCCTTAACAACCTAGAATATAACCTAGAATTAAAAGCAATATACAAATGTAAAGACATTGGCGGCCCACTAAGGCCTACAGAATAGTCTATATGGAGTATACTATATAGACTTAACTTCTATAACATTTGTTGATATACAATATATACCCTATGGTAGATTCTGGAGATACATCTTTTTTGAAAGATATGGTTCTGGCTCTCTAAAGACTTTTATTAATGAGACGGCAATCTCCAATAACAGGTACCATTAACTCTTAAGGACAAGTTCCACATGTTAGTCTTGGTAAAGTTAATCAAGGGAATGGGAAGGGGAAACAGAGACAGGGAGACAGAGACAGAGAAAAAGACAGAGAGCAAGAATTACGGAGAATAATGATGAAGTTGTACTATTTCTGCTGATTTGCTTTAGAATTGAGTCTAGCAGTTACTCTGATCTAAATAGACAACAAAGCAGAGTCCTGATTCATAGAAGCTGGGTGGCTGTCTTCACATATCATTCCTTTTATCCAGGTATTGTGTTGCAAGTTGAGTGGGAAGACACTGCTATTTACTCTGTGTCTCATAAATATCTCCTTCATATTCATGTTCATTCATACCTCCATATGAATGTTTTCATAGCACTCATTACAGCAACCTCCACTAACATTTAAAAAGCACATTTTCCCTTTTCAATTTAGCAGCTTATGTAGCTATTATCTTCTACACTCAAACCTATAATTAAACCTAACTCTTACGTGAGGCCATGGGAAATCATATAGACAAATGGGGACACATAGTGTAAATGATGGGTATACAGAAAGAAGGCAAGGACTGTATTGAATGGATTCTCAGGAAACCTCATGTCAGCAGTTACATCTATCCTAACTTCTCTAAGACTCTGAACATTTTCTCAGGTAATAGTTAATAGAGACACATATTATGGAGAGTTTGTTTACTACAGCAATACACATGCATAAGCAACATGAATACTAATGCTATTTTGAGCAGGTTGTGGACAACGCACAATAACTCACACTGGCAATAAAATAGCAGGGGGGCAGAATGCAAAGGAAGGAGAATGGCCCTGGCAAGCAAGTCTACAACAAAACGGTGTCCACAGATGTGGAGCCACTCTGAGTAGTAACAACTGGCTTATCACTGCTGCTCACTGTTTCGTAAAGTAAGTTCTGGCCTTTCAGATTCCTAAAAGCCTGATAATACCTGTCAACTGCATAGCCATAGAACCATGCTTCCCACTATCCTGTATGGTGAAGTAGAGCCTCTGAATTACTCAATGATTTATCAGTGAAATGGATGTAGTCAGCCTAGAGCAAGGTTTTTCAATAGTGGCACTAGTTACATTTTAGGCCAAATAATTCTGGAAAGCTGAACAGTGCATAATTGAATTTTTAGCAACATTTCTGTACTTACCCACCAGTAGCGTCTCACAGGATGGCAACTGAGATGTTTCCAGACATGACCAAATGTTTGGGGACAAAGTGACCCCAAATTTGGAAACACTTAGAGTCATTCACCTCAAATTCATTTTCAAAAACTTAAATTCTAAACTGAGCATGCATGTTCTTTTTCTATGTCATCATTGTTATAGTAGATTTATATCCACAGCCTTATTTGAAATGATTTCTTCAAAGGATGTATTGCTGCACTGAAAGTTTGCCCTTTTGTATCCAAAAGACTTTTACACTTTTGTTTGATGATTCTTTTCATTAACTCCACTGGTTTTCTGTCGTAGTAATTGCTTTTTTAAAAAATCCCACTCCAAGCTTCAGTTCTCTTCATCTGTGCTTATTATGTTGATTTAATGAAGATTTTGAAAACATTCCAGGAGCACTATTTTTTGTATTTAATATACAAATCTTTGAATAATAAATAGTAAAAGTCAAAAGTATTTTATTTATAGCTTTTAATGGTTAAAAGAGAATTTAGGCTACTTTTTAAATTTCCATAAGTTTACTCTATCTCATATCCTTGTCCACTTATTTAATCTCACTAGCTGTATGTTTATCTTTCTAAATCCCTGTTAGTATTTTCTATTCAAACTAAGAGTAAAATGTAGTTTCCATAGGTTATCTTTTAAAGCATCATTTATTGTATTATTCAAGGTTTATTCATGTCATCATTTTTTTCTTTTATACATGGCTTTATTTTTGTGTGCTTATAAGTATCATGGAAACTCAAACTAACTGAATTGTTTTCCAATGGAGAAGAGATTAACTGGTATAACTCCAATATACAGGACTTTTAATAAGTAAATCTATTTTCTTTAGCGCCAATAAACCCAAAGATTGGAATGTTACTTTTGGACTTCTCTTAAGTGATCCAAAGACACAACAAACAGTCAAGAACATTATAGTTCATGAAAATTACCATTACCCTGCACATGAAAATGACATTGCTGTTGTGCACCTGTCTTCACCAGTACCATATACAAGCAACATCCGAAGAGCGTGTCTTCCAGAAGCTACTTATAAATTCCCTCCCAATTCTGAGGTAGTGGTCACTGGATGGGGAACCTTAAAGTCCAACGGTGCGTTTCTAATCTCCTTGCATGGCTTGAGTTTTAGAAGTTACAAAGAAATTCAGAATTACAACTGAATCTGAAAATATTTTCTCTGGATCATTTTAAAGAGGATAACATGTAATGGATTGAAAATTACCCTCAATGTCATTCATGAAAAAATTATAATTTCATAGACATTTATTATAATTCCCCTTAAGATGGCAGTTTTACAGTATTATTATTTGGATACATAATTTATTTTCCTCCATCTCCTTAATTTTAACAATAAACACTTATTTTAATTATCACTTTTGTTCATGGTTATTTTCTAGGCAGCCAGAATACTTTAAAGGATAAAGTAGGCAAATATTCCTATTTTCTTAGCTAGGAAAAACCTTTCATTTCACTTGAGAGATTGAGCATTTTTTATGAAATGAAATGAATAATGCTCATTTATATACATTCATCCCCATGACTCTAGTAATGTGAAGATTTTGTGGCTATTTATGTTCATAATTGCATTTTAAAAGCAGAAAAACAAACTTAAAATTAACCCCATGAATTAGAATTTTAGTGCTACTTAACTGAAAATCTAAAAATAATCATGAAATGCATGCTTCTGGGTTATGAATTTTTAATTTTTCTTTCTAGGGCAACATGTAGCGACTATAAAATTCTCAAATAATTTAATAGGAAAAAATCCCATCAAGGATGTAGATGCTAAAAATTTCTAAAAATGCTAATTTTTAGCAAGAGTTTGGTATGTTTATAAACATTAGTTGCTTCTTTGTCACTAAGAAAGAAGGAAAAAAGTTTAATTAACATACATGTTTTACATTGATTTGGAAGTTGTACATAATATTAGATGCTAGTAAGTTAGCCAGAGCAATTAATACTGACTTTAGCAAAAGTTTTGTCATATTCTTTCTTCAGGAAGAAGTCCTAATGTACTACAAGAAGGATTTGTGAAAATTATAGATAACAAAACCTGCAACAGTAGCAAGGCATATGATGGAATGGTCTCTCCTGAAATGCTATGTGCTGGGTTCTTGGAGGGACGTGTAGATGCCTGCCAGGTAAATCTGCTTAATGCATTTGCAAGAATTTTTTCTTGCAGTTTTAAACTTCCAGTTAACCAGTTCAATTTTCTCAGTGTTTAAATACTTCAGTATGTTTTGTAGCCAAAGTATATAATTAAAATGATATTGATGTCATATAGGTCTCATTAAAGGAATGAAGTACTAAATCACTCATCCCATTATAAAAAACTGAGAGTCACAATGGGGAAGAGACCCAATTAGAAAAAACAATGAAAAGATTAAGTAGAGTGCTGGTTACATTAGTTTGATTGATCTTTCACTGAGAAATACAACAATCCTGGAGCTTTCATAACCTGGCTCCAACATTCTAAATATTTTATTTAACAAAAGTTATATGGCATCTACATAAATCAGATAATGTTTTAAGTTCTTCACAAATATTAATTCATTCTACTTATTTTTTTTTAATGACAAGTAATGTTTATTGAATATTCACAGTATACCAAGCACTTTTCTAGGCGTTGTATATACTGACTTATTTAATTCACATAACAATTCTGATTAGGTAGTACAGTTGGGGGGTTTTGTTGTTACTGTTATTTTTGTTTGTTATTTTCAGTACTTGAGATTGAGCCGAGGGCCTTCTTTGCATTGAACTGCATCCCCAACCCAGCTGGAAAGATGGAAAACTGATATGTTTTAATATAAGACTACATTGTTAGATTTAAAGACAGGGTTGATCCAAAGTATGCTGCCTGTTACCCTTGGGCAAATCAGTTAAGCTCTTTGAATCTTATTTTACTTCTGCCATGATGATTCTTATCCTCCTCTCTAAGAGGGAGATTGTGGTGGGTGGTGGTGGGCAGTGAATGTGAAAATGCTTTGCAATGGAAAACCAGGAGGCAGCCAGGAGTTCCCAGGGAGGGATTATTAGTCTGATTCATCGAATTGTATTTCACTGGTCCACTGGTTGGGTTACACTAACTAGAGCCTCTCTGCCCAGGCTGTAGTGGGCTATGAATCACCTGATGGTTTTGTTAAACTCTAGACTCAGTAAGTCTGTGCTACAGTCCAAATTTCTGCTTTTCTAACAAGATCACATGTGTTGCTGAGGCTGCTGGCCTGGGAACCAAAATTTGAGTACTAAGAAAATACTCAAAGGAGAAAGTTTTCCATGCATTATCAGATCAGCTGAAGGGTGTGGATCTTCTCTGGTTTGTGCCTTCTACTCACCAGCAATGCTAACCAAGACTTCTCAGGCTTTCTCTCCTGCCCTTTCTTGGGGCCTCTCACAGGGAGCTGGTAGCCTTGGGCAGGATTCCAGTAGGCATTCATTCATTTCCACAAATAATTCATTCTACTTATGACAGTCCTCTGCAGCATGCTTGTACTATTGTAAACCCTACTTCTCAGATGAGGAAACTGAGACAAACAGATTAAGTAACTAGTCTAAACTCTCACAGCTGGTAAATGACAGAAATGAAATTTAGATGCAGAGAATTTGGCTCCAGTGTCCATACTCTGAATTCTATACTAAGCTACAATTCTTTATGCTTAATATGCTTCGAATGCCCCATTCATCTTTATAAGCAATAGAACTGGAGCTAATAAAAGGGCTAACATCATTATCAAGGCAGATAGAATCAGTGGTAAATCATTTTATTCATTCATTCATTATAGTAATCATTTATTGGCCAGTAACCATATGCCAAACCTTGTGCTATATATCGGGAAATTGTAATAAATAGAGCATATTCCTGAACTCTCAGAACCACCAGAGATGGAAACAAATATTTACAATACATAATTATCTCTAATTAGAAATTTCAATCTTTCCAATTGTTCCACTAAAACTATTCTTTAATAGGATAGCATGAAGAGCTTAAATCCTCTCCCTCTCAATTTCTTCTCAGCCCAATGACTTCTAAACTTACACAGCCTGGAGCCCATATTTTATTTTTTCATCCACTGCATCCTTTGATGATTTCATCTCCTAGTTCTTCCAGACTGATTCTAATAATTTTTAATCACAAGATAAACTGTAAGCTTTATTTGTTCTCACATATGAGCTTCTAAGCACACCTAGAAGAAATCTTGCCCTCTTGTAAACTGAAGTCACTTATTCACAGGTGTGTCCCTAACATAATTTACATTTCTTTCAGGAATCTTGTATTATGCTATGCCAAACCATCACTATATACTTTATGTGCCTATCCTACCATGCCCTCATTTTTCTTAGCATGTATTTCTAACCAGAAATAATAGAAGCAATCACCTGAGAACCCCCTTAATTTCTTTTCAGCCTAATACATTTATATTTGGACATATTCTCACCTTCTATGTTTAGGATAAACAAGTTTCTTCTACTATTCTCTTTTCTGTATTCTTCACTCAGTCTCCTTCCATCTATACCAGAATTTTAACTTTCTATTAATTTTAATTTTCTCATATATTTCTTAAACTACCCCAGGTTATTGAACCATTTTCCACATTTTATAAATATTATCAAGTCTCTCCCAAACTTACGCTGAGAAAAATTCAGCAACTCAATCCAAAAAAGAAAAAAAAACCCTGATTTAAAAATGGTCAAAAGACCTGAATAGACATATTTTTAAAGTATTCATCCATTTTTTCAAAGAATTCAAACAAGTATTTTAAAAAGTACTCAAGATCAATAATCATCACAGAAGTACAAATTAAGACCACGTAGAAGTATCATCTCACATGTTAGGATGGTTATGTTAGGATTGTCCAAAAGACAAGAAATAACAATTGTTAGCAAGGATATAGGGACAAGGGGATCCTTGTACACTGCTGATAGGAATTCAAGTTGGTAGAGACATCATGGAAAACAGTATGGACATAAATAAAAATTTTTTAAAAGAAATTGTTGTTGATTGAAAAGGAAAAAAAAGGAAAACAGTATGGACGTTCCTCAAAGCACTAAAAATAGAACTGCAATATGATCCAGCAATTCCACTTCTGGGCATATATACAAAGGAAATGAAACCAGTATTTCGAAGAGATATCTTCACCTAAGTTCACTATGGCACTATTTGCATCAGACAAAATATAAAAATAACCTAAGCATGCATCAAAGCATTGTTTATATCATCACATTATACATAATATTCATAATATATCACATATGTTATATATCACATTTTATGTCACATAATATATAACCCTATCTGTAACTAAATGTATAGTCACAATAGCAGGATTTCCTGATTTATGGATAAACATTCCATTATAATGAAGTGTTTATTCATAAAACAGGAAATCCTGGTATTTGTGACAATAAGAATTAATCCAAAAGATACTATACCAAATGAAATAAGCCATATACAATAGGACACTTAATGATCTCACTTATATGTGTAATCTTGAAAAATCTAACTTACTGAAATGGAATATCATAATCATGTTGTATTGTATACTTGAAATTTGGTTCAAAAGATCTTGTGTCCTTTCACAACAAAGTAATATGCGAGGTGTGAATGTTAATTCATTTGAAGGTATTACTTCAATATGTATACCAAAACATCACATTGCACAGCTTAAATATATACAATGTTTGTCAATAATATTTCAAGTTAAAAAAAAAATACACCTGTCTGCGAACAGTTGATACAGATGTGGTCTGGTGTAGGTGAGCTCAGATGTCAAAAGGAACAGAACAAAGAACGGAGGGATTACCACCTGTTACTCACCATTTACTCTAAGAATTTGAAATTCATAAACTTAGGTTCATAGTGACATTTATTAATCTGTAAAATGATAAGAGTTTAGAATGGCTACCTGGAAAGTAAGTTGACTAGAAACATTAAAAATATTGCTAATACATAATTTTGTAACATGATTTTATTTCCCAGTGTAAGGTTGGGCACAGGATACAGAGGTGAGGAAGGTAAGGAGCTGAAAATGGTATCGACAGAGTGGAAGTATGAGTGACTTATGAAAATGTAGCTGCATAAATAAAGATGGGAAGGAAGAAATGAGCTGGTACTAGTAGAAAATGAAGGGCTATAGCACTGGAATTCCTAACGAGGTTGAAGAGCAGATGTAGAGTGAAATTATAAGTGGAACAAAAAAACTTAGGGGGTTGGACATGCAATCATAGTACTGAGTAATGGTGTTTCAGAAATGGAGCAGATCCAGGAGATGACAAAGTGATGTAGAAAAGCTAAATTAAAATGTGGATGATCAAACTCAAGAAAGCAGAGACACTAGTCAAGGGGCTAAGATATTAGATGTATCATCTCATGGATGCTTAAATTATCCATGATGATGGGAAAAATTAGAAAAAGAAAATACAGAGTCTAAAGAGTTCTATCAATTTGGGAAAAAAATGTACAGATCAATAGATGAAAACTATAAGTGCACAGAGGAGGTATAACAAAGTTTACACAAGAATGAAGAGCTTAGTGTTGGTTGAAGGGTAATTACAAACCTTCCCTTTTCACCAGCCTCTTACTGGAAATAGGGGGCTTGGGGGAGATAATCAGAACATTCTTCAGTATGCTAATAACCGCATAAGCAACTATACTTCCAGTAGCTCCTTTGGGTGATAACTGAGTTGAAACATTTCATATCTGTTTTTTATTGTTGTATTAGTATACCCAAAGACATATGCTGATTCTTGGATTTAGGTAAATAATCATAGAAAACAAAAATATTCTAGATTAGTATCATGTAAGTACTGAAATTGGTTAAAAAAAAAATTTCTTTCATTTGTCCTTCCTGGGTTTTACTACAAAAGAAAAAATATTCAGCATTCACCTTTAAATGACAGTAATTGTACATATCCTTTTTCTCTCCAGGGCGATTCTGGTGGACCACTGGTTAGTGCAAATTCTAAAGGAACCTTGTTCCTTGTTGGTATTGTAAGCTGGGGAGATGAGTGTGCTCTTCCAAACAAGCCTGGTGTCTACACTCGAGTGACATACTAGCGAGACTGGATCATGTCCAAAACCGGTCTCTAAGGCAAGAAGTCCGATATAGATTACAGCTGAATGGTTATATGCTTAATATGTTTATAATTCCCAGGCCACATTTATCTTAGATATCACCTTTTCTTATGTACATTTAATGTTGCACACCTAAACACATACAATTTTACTACTATGAAAAGTGAAACAATTTGCTTCAGTGAGACTATAAACCTGGTCAAATAATTTTACTTTTCATTCCTTTTCAGATGGAAAATATATGAGCAAATATAGTTTGAGTTTTAAAAAAATATTTTCTGTTAATTTGCATATCCATATCTTTTGGGAAGTCACTGAATGGGTATTAGCAATACATTGTCTTCTGAGACAGTCCTCTGCTGATGAGTACATGGATCCCACAGTATCTATACATTTATAGGTTGTTGTCAAGGGAGTTGCAGCAGTGCTGCCTGTAAGAATTACTCAGGAAAATCTGTCTACCTGTTTTCTTTCTGGACCCTATCTTGGTGCTATTGCCTTCTCTATTTATGGCTTCCTTAACTTGAGTGACAGAAAGCCACATGACAGTTCCATAGGTGTACTGAATGGATCACAATGCTGTGTACTTGTCCTTGTGCTCTTATGAGTGTGAAAGTGAGACCAGAAGATGGTTCTCACATGTACATACAAAAGCAACATTCTCCTCAGATGCATGGGCTTTAATATCTCATGCAAATAAAGCCATACTGCATCTCTCTAAACTCTTAAAATGCCCAGTAATATGAATTATGAACCAGAATAAATAATGTGGAAATTTTACTTCCACTTCATTCTTCTTTTGCTAGTAAAGAAACATCCTAGCTGAGAATACAGGATATAAATGAATTATTATGCCAAATCAACAGTTGATTTATCCAAAATATTTATCCAAAATATGACCGCATCAGGCAGTTTCTCAGAGTGTAGTTCATCAGTGTCTCTAAAGGAGTTTTTCCTCTTTCTCATCACTAACAACTTATAGCTACCACTAATATCCTTCATAAAGATAGAAATTTTTTCACAGCATCTCCCCAAAATTCCATTATTAATAATAGTAGCTAACATTTATTGAATTCCCATTATGTAGCAGACATACTTTATTATTACTACTTTGAACGCATACATCCCCAGGATGATAGTCCCCTTGTTATCTCAATTTTATAAGTAAGGAAACTATAAAGAAGCAACTTGTCAAAGATCAGAGAGACTACAGTTGACAAGTGCATTCCAGAGCTCATATTTTTAATATGCTGTATTATATCACAAGGTTATAACTAAGGCCCTACCTAGTGCAGTATTCTAAAATGTAGTATTTGTAAGAAAGTTTATGGATGCATTAACACAATAGCTTTATTATTTAATTGCTTTTAAAATAGTGTGATATATCTTGTTGTAAGTTCATAAGAATTAGTATTTCTATCTTGTAGTATTTTAGATATTAAGTATAAGCCAAATAAAACTTTATATATAGTGGTCAAGATTAACTTAGCTTGGATCCAGGAACTACTGCTGTCTGGTGGAGGGTACTTCTTGATTGGCAAACCCTTAGGTCAGGTTAGAAGGATTTTCAGAAAAAAAGTATTGGATAGATATTTTTAAAGTAACAGTTAAATCCATTTTCCACTGCAAAATGTGCTGCCTTCTAAATCAAAATAATGTTGTTTAAAATAATATAATCACAATAAACAGTAATTCAAGATTTTATATTTTCAGGTGTTTATTAAGCTGTAAGACACATATTTTGCATGCTTATCTTGGAGAAAGAAATATGGGCTATAATTTAAGTTATTAGTATTCCTCTTTACCTACTTTATTTACAGTTTTATGTAAACAGTATAAAGTTTCTATGGGGAAGAATGTCCAAAATATTTCATTTTAACTTAGAAAATAATTTAACATGAAGATTGACATGTTAGGTTTGCAAAATTTCAGAAGGTCTCTACAAATGAGTCTACTTTAAGTCAATCATCCTGCCCAGTGATACACTATATAATAGTAGATTTCCTTTTTCTCTCTACAAGTCAAAATGGTAGGGAATCACAGTAATAATAATGTCTTCCCATCTGGGTAACAGTGTCATAACTTCTGGGTCTCTTCACATTGGGCATTTCAGCTATAAACAGTATCCAGCAACAGTTTAAGAGAGCACATGCAAAAGAATGAAATTGGACACTTACATCATACAGAAAATGTAACTAAAAGTTAATATTAAAGACTTAAATATAAGATCTGAAACTGTAAAACTCCTATAAGAAAACATCAAGGGGAAGCTCCTTGACATTGGAGTGGGTGATGCTTTGTTTGGATAAAATACACTATGCACAGGCAGCAAAAGCAGAATCAAACAAACAAAAGCCTCTGTACTGCAAAGGAAACAAAATGGAAAGGTAACTTACAAATGGAAGAAAATATTTGCAAAAATAATTTCATGGGGGTATAATAGCCATCTATCCAAAATATATAAAGAACTTACACAACTCAGTTCCAAAAGGCAAAAAAATCAATAATCTAATTTAGAAATGATGTTAATAGACAGTGTTTCAAAGAAGATAAACAAATGCTTGACTGTTTTTAAGCCCCATCCTTTTGTAACTGCCAGTAGCTGAGTTATCTGGCATCTAGTTCAATGTCTTGTGATTGTTCTTAGCTGTGTCTTTCAGACTCCCTCAGGGGATCTAATATCTACTAGGATCAGTTTGATTACAATTTATAATCCTTTCTTAATTTTGATCTTGAATTTCTCTCATTTTTACTCTCAGTGCTACTTTTCAGAGTTCTTTTGCAGGGCATACTGCCTTTATGCCAAAGGAAAATTCACGTAAGTTTACTCAGAATCTTTTTGGCACAATTGGCTTATTTCCTCTCAGGAGATTTTATAGTTTGAGTAAAAACCACTGATGTCCCCAGTAATTTTTACCAAGAGCACTTTTCACCAAGTAAACAATAAACGACAAAAACAGGAGACTTACAGGAAGATGGCAGAGTGGAAAACAACAGCAAATCAACCTCTCCAAGATTTAGAATCCAAATACTGGAATATAACAACTTGGGGAAGAAAAGAAGAAGGGAGGTGGATCCCCAGGAACCAGGAAGGATCTGAAGGGAGAATTGGAGCCCACAAGGAAAGTGAAGAGGCAGGCCTCAATGCAGAAAAAGGAGGTGGCAAACATCACCTGCCTGGCTCCCAGCTCACAGCATAAGAAGAGGCTTTAATCTACAAAGATAGAGTGAGGGTAGATAACTCCAGAGGCCTCCAGGGAAAAATGCACCAGTGGAATGAGCAGTGGATACTGTGAGCTACAACAGGTGGTGAGTGACTCTAGTCCAAACAGCGCTTGGAGACAGTGCTTGGCCAGACACCATTTTAGGGAGAGGCCAAATTAATCTGGGACTCCCGGTGACTGGGTAAGGCACAACCACAGGACTCATCCAAGATCAGGGAGCTAAGCTGAGGCTGGCAAGAGACACCCAGAGTGTTGCAGGCTGAAGAACACAGGCTGCAATCAGAGGCCAGGATCAGCCTGAACTTCTGTGGAGTTGAAAGCATCAGAATTGGCACCAAGCCCTATTACTACTGCAGGCTTCTAGGGATTATCAAAACTGTATCTGAGTTCTGTCTGCCTCCTTTGTCTACCAGTGACAGTGAGGACACACCCTGAGTTGGACAGTGCCACAAAACAGTAGACCCCAGAAGATAACCACAGGGTTGAAATCACAAAGAAATGTCTTTTTTTCTCTTCTTTTTCATATTTGCTTTCTTTTCTTTCTCTGGTTGTTTTTGTTTTTTTCATCAGTGTAAACATTATTTTTAGGTTTTTATTCTGTGGTTCTTGTTTTTGTTTTTTTCTTCTTTCTTTCTCTCCTGTCTTATTCACAAGTTTCCCAAAGCTTAGGTAATCTTCCTTTGTCCTTCAGCCTTGCTTCTAATCTGTTTCTTTTCTTTTATTTCTCTATTTTTTTCTCTTGTCCCTTTTAAATTTTCTCCCCTGAGAGTAAAATCACTCTTTTGAGGGAATATTTACTGTATATAATTTTCTGATTTATTTTAGATTTTGTTATATAACTATAAATCTTGTACCTTTGGTTAATTGTGACAAAATAAGTTTTTCACTTTCTAGACTGTGCTTGATGCTATTGTTATTACTGACTGTACTGCTTTAACCAAGGTGACCTAGTTTTTGTGATCAGTTGTTCTTCCTTGTATGCCAATACTGAGATTATCTAGGGGTCATAAACAATACCACAGTGACAGAGCCCACCGTCACTTGTCGAACAGCACCTGAATGGGGGAGTGAGGATGAAGAAAAAGAAAGACACAGAGATAGAGTCAGCTCCCAGAGAGATTGAGAGCGCAAGTTTATTTTTTCTGGATCTTTTATACACTGAACAGGCTGTGGCTATTTTTAGTCCTGGCCTTGATACAGAAACGCCCACTTCTCTTTTCTTTGGAATTTCCCCATTCTCTAAAATTTCCCTGTTCTTTTAGTTCTTTATATCTCTGGGTAAAAGAACATTCATCATGGCACAGGACAATCTTTAAAGATAAGCATTTGGCTTGGCAGGGACAGAGTATTCCCAGAGCTGATATCTTGTCCTTTACGGTGGAGGGCAAAGTTAAAATGGAATGTTCATAGCTAACACCGCCTTCCACACCACAGTCCAATATGAGAGAACTGGGCACTAGGCCAAATAGGCAGCAACTTCTTATCCCTAATAAATTGAAGTGGCAAGATCTTGAAACAGACTCAAAAGCCAAAAGCCAGCTACATGTAGAAGACATCTCTGAAAAGTAATCATTTCCTAAGGAAGTCTCAATAATAGTAATAAAGATATTTACCATAAGCAATTTACAAGCATCAAAGCAGAAAACAAATGAAAAAAATAGATAATGAGAAGACATTGAAGAAAGATGCAATCCCAGACCTCCAGCTCACCCAAGGCAAATCCAGGGGCCACTGAGGTAGATGAAATCAAAAGCCACCCAGCTGAACTTTCTGAAATGATAGGAGCAGAAG